GGACAATGAAAGCATCTGATGAGGCGGCTCTTGGAGTTTTCGAGAGAAAGATTCTGCGAAAGATTTACGGACCTTTACGCGTTGGTGATGGCGAATATCGCAGACGATTTAACGATGAGCTGTATGAGCTTTACAACGATATAGACATAGTGCAGCGAATTAAAATTCAGCGGCTCCGCTGGCTTGGCCATGTCGTTCGGATGGACAGAAACGCTCCTGCTCTGAAAATATTCAACGCGGGCCGCGATGCTGGGAACAGAGGAAGAGGAAGGCCTCCTCTGCGTTGGAAAGACCAGGTGGAGAAGGACTTGGCTTCACTTGGCATTTTCAATTGGCGTCAGTTAGCACAGAAGAGATATGACTGGCGTGCTGTTTTGGACTCGGCCAAAATCGCTTAGGCGGTTACAGCGCCAAATAAGAAGAAGAAGGCCATTTCGAAACACTTCATACTTAGGACACAAAAGTTGAACATATTCGGCTCGAGCCACGTTTCTGTAAACACCAGTACTTTGAAGTCAAGATCATGGGACTGCAAGTGTAACCTTGCTAGCTTTGTGTTCAAACCTCTCATATTTTGGTAGTAAATGCTTATGGTGAGGCTGCTTATTAGTTTTTTGATGCCGAGGTGGGATGCGGAAGTTGAGCCAAATTTTGCCCTTGCGGTCTAGATCTAAATTCAAATTCGCGAATGAAGGCACCGCTTGGCCGAAAAGATGGGCTCATTACTCTAACAAAGCAGCAAAGGACTTCGGGAACATGGATCGGAAACTCGTTCTTTCCGACCATGATCAACAGCTTGTTCATAGCGCGGAGCGGAAACCAGAGCTTTCCGCCTGCCACACATATGAAGTAATGTCTTCGGGAACATGGATCGGAAACCCGGACTTACCGACCTTTGAACAACAGCCTGTCTGCAGCGCGGAGCGGAAACTAGGTCTTTTCGCCCGCCACACACAAGAGTAGACTGAAGACTAGGCCTCACCAGCTACAAAACCTGCTGTTTTATGTTATTATTATTATTATTATTATTTTCATTATAAATTAAAATGTATAATTAGTCTATTCTGTAACATATCACAAATACTTAAATATTTAAATATTATATTCTCATTTGTCTGTAAGAAAACATTTTTCTGTAGACCAAATAAATAAATAAATAAATAAATATGTATACTTTAACAGAAGAAATGCTTCTTTCATACGAGAATCTGAACTTGCGTACATTCAAATCATTTGGTATCAGCCTGGAAGTTAAATACCCCTTCACATTATCGACAGTGGTATCTTTTGAAAACCTAGATACAAAGACCGATTTTTTGGTAGGGACAACGATTAAATCCCTCGGGACGGGGTTTACGTAATCGGAAACGGTTTCACCTGTCGAATTTTTGGAAGGAGCAAGATGGCTCCGAATGTGGTAAGTGGTTGAAATTTAGCTGTGGAGTTTTTGGAAGGAGCAATGACTACTTCCTTCAGAACGGTGTTGACGTAATCGGAGATGGCTTCAGATGTGGTAGAGGGTTGAGGTGAAGCCGTTGAACATAAATTTAGTGAGCCCCCAGTAGAAGAAGGACGTGGTTGGGGAGATTCAGTCCGCTGAGGAATCGGTGTGTTAAAACTTATGAGATCTTTGTTCATAGCTGGAGTCAAAAGTGGGCGGTTCTGCGGAAGATCAAGGTCCACAGTGATGGGATTCAACACAATATTTTCCACGCCTCTCCTACGTCTTTTAAGACCCTTTCCAGGAGAAGGAGAGGAGGAAGTATCTACTAATTTAAATTATTTGAATTCATCCTCATACTTCTTGAACTTCTCGTTGAGAAGTTGTAGCTCTTTGCCTATCTCCAAAAATCCATTTCTAGCGGTTCTAAATAGTTTACAGAGATCCGCAACAGTTTTTTACACTTTGGACATGACCAGCGAAGTCCACTGTCTCCAATAATCATATCCAGAACTCTCCCATTAATACCAGCACACTTTAAATGAGACAGTTCATCGCAAAGCCAGAGCGCCACAAAACGGTCCGAACTGGCTTTTACATTAAATTTTTCGAACAGACAGGGCATTTCCAGCGAATTTTATTACAAAATAATAAAAATAGCGAAATTAGGAATGTATTGTACGAAAACGTTTCAAGCTCACAGTAATTGGCAGTTTAATAGCTATTGGTGTTAGTCAGTGAACTTCAATGGTTAGAAACCGTGCTGAACTTAACAGTTTTAAAGCCACTGAGTTAGCAAAATCAGCTGTCACCAAAAAAGCGACTGTCGATGATAAACAAAGGTGTGTGTAAAGCGCGAAAGAAAGCAAAATGAACAAACAAATGCGATATTCCTTACACTCTCACGCAAAAGCAACAATAATGCACCAAAAACAGGCAAATATGCACGAAGGTCGACAAAATAAAACTTTACAATCAACGCACTTTATGACTAAATCATGTCAATTTATTGCTAGGGGAATAAATCATGTAGACCAGTTTCCCTTAGCCGGAGTTTCTGATCACGAGCTAATATTTATTTCTCTTGATATTGAATTTTTTTAAAAAGGATCCAACTAGCCACTTAACGTTTATCGACTTTAAAAATATCAATGTAGCTGCATTGACTAACGATAGTATCTCACTAGACTGGAATCGCTGCTGGTTCTTTTCTAATATTGATGAAAAATTAACTCACTTCACTTCTCTAGTAAAATATCTGTTTGAAAAACACGTTCCAGTAAGAAGTACACAAATAAATGATTATAAAAAGCCCTGGCAAACGAATGCCATCCTAAATCTTATTAAAGATCGATCTAGGGCTTATAAGTATTGGGAACGAAATCCTACAACTGAGCGCTGGAATAGTTATAAAAATCTCCGAAATAAAGTGGCTAATGCAGTACGTAATAACACGAAGAACTATGTACTTGGAAACCAAGCTCAACACTGACTAGTCCCCTAAAGCATTGTGGAAAAATTAAAAACATTAGGAATTTCTACTAAGGACGCGAAAACGTTTACGATTGATACCGATGAAATGAATACTTATTTCATTACTGGTACTGCCTTGTCAGATCGTTATCCTTTGACTACTAATGAAAGTTTAAATTATAAGCCGGCACACGAATTTTCATTCGATATAGCTACGGAAGATGATGTCGAAAAACGTGTTTTTGCAATAAAATCAAATGCTATCGGCGTAGATGGAGTCAGTCTACGCTTTCTAAAACTAATTATGCTTTATGTGCTGCACACTCTTACACATATTTTCAATTTTACCCTAACCTCCTGTACCTTTCCCAAACAATGGAAAATTGAAACAATTGAAAACAACTCAGTTGACTCTCCAAAGGACTTTAGACCCATTAGCCTTTTACCAGCTCTAGCGAAAGTTTTCGAAAATTTAATTTCTACCCAAATAATTCACCATCTTGGTAAGTACAGTCTCTTTAGCGAGTTTCAATCTGGTTTTCGATCCAATCACAGTTGTTCTACTGCCTTGTTAAAAGTTATGGAAGACATTCGTCCTGCTTTTGATACCAAGATACTTACTATTTTAGTGCTCTTAGATTTTTCTAAAGCTTTTGATATGGTAAGACATGACATTTTTCTTTAAAAGCTGCAACATTATTTTGGTTTTAATTCAACGTCACTCAAATTAATGAACAACTATCTCTCAAACAGATACCAACAAGTTCAATGCGGAGACATCTTTTCTTGTCGCAGAAAAATCACTTCTGGAGTACATCAAGGCTCGATTCTAGGCCCAATTCTTTTTAGTGTTTTCATAAATGACCTATACCTATATCGTTTGATTCTTTTGATTTGAGTAGTTTGCCGCCATTAATGCTGGGCAATACGGAGTTGAGTTTCCAATCACAAAAAGCATTTTAGGCTCGAACTTGGAGAGCTATCTGAAGATTAGTATCATCTTATTTTTAGTTAATTAGAAACCGCCAACCATGCTATCTTTACCGAAAACTGAACCTAGTTCAATCGTCTCGCACCCATAATATTATTGTCTCTAGGTATAATATTTGAACAGCGTCAAGATTGTTTTTTGTTAGTGTTGTGAAAATCTGGAACTCCTTACCAACCTTAATTAAATGTATAACAATGTTTGGATGCTTCAAAGCGGCAGTTACAAATCTTTTTAAGTAAAATCTTTCTACCTTCCCTAAAAATCTCCTCTTCATCTATTATATATATATATGTTTTTTTTATTCATAACTAATACGCTAGACTAATAATTTTTGTTACCATTACTATATTTTTCTGTACTTTTTATAATTAGATTTTAGTTGAAGTTAATTTTGTAATTTTTTTGTTTGTTTTTTTGCAACGACCTCGCATTTTACTGTACTCAACTAGTTAATAAATAAATCTCAAATCTTAAATATCCAAAAACAGATATTTTAGCAAAATATGCAAAAATATGCACCCACGATTGAATGCCATTTTAACTTGACCATTTCGATTTGAACATGCTCAATAAAAACATGCATTTGCATGAGATTCCGAGCCCTACTGGTAACACTGTAGGTAAATTTTAAGGTTTTGAAATATCACAGCTAAATGGCCAAACACGTAAACTTAATTTCGGCCTCTAGATTACGATGGCGTTTTTAGAAAATCCGTATCACGTCAAAATTTTGAGATATTTAGGGGGGAAGTTTTAGAGTTCTGAAAGTGAATTTTTCGTCGTTTAAAACACTGTGCTCAGGTTTTGAATTTTTTCTGGGCAAAGGTTTTGATAACTGATCTTACTTAATTGGGATCTTTTAAATTCAATGGCCTCCTCCGTTTTTCCAGGTTAGCTCTACTTTTCGAGATAACGGTGCTTGAAAATCTGCTTAAATTTTAGATTTTTTGGTAATAATTACCTCAGTTTTAAGGTTATTTTACTAAAATTTTGCACTTGACTGTATTTTGATATTACCTTAGCTATTTCTGAAAATCATGGAAATCGGTTCACTATAACATATAGCTCCCATACAACTGATTGTTCAGATATGTGGTTTTGCGTTACAACTCATATTTTATTTCGTAATATTTTTTTATAATATTAGTTTATATACTATTTGGACCTAAATTTGGGTTCTCTTCAATCCCGTTTTGGCATATTTTGCTAGTTTCTATTGCTCGAATGATTTTTTTAATATCCTTTGCCTCCTGCGATCGACCAGCAAAAGTCCGCCAACATTGAATTCAATCGTTTTCCAGCGAATCGGTCCTCAAAACACATAATGGATTGGTGAAATCTCTCTCCTACCTCGTCGGTTTCTGTTGAAAGCTGTTGCTCGTAAAAGTCAAAGTGACTGTGTAGCATGTGGATTTTAAGCGACATGTGCACATCAAAGGCGTCAAAAGATTCCATCAAGTTCGCAATAAAAATGGCATATTCTGGTGAACGATTTTTACACAGAACGTGTTTAATTAAAGCCCGAACTGCATCCCATGCAACGGCTGCTGTGCCATCAAGAATTTCCAAGAAGCCTTGATCCTTCATTAATCTTCTGATGTCCGGCCCATTAAGCACACCTGAAATAAAAATTATAGGGTTCTTAAAGCAAGAGAGAGATATAATAAAATATATGAGCGAAAATCTCTCAAATGGGCAACCCAAAATTGGACGGTGAAGATATTTTCGCACAAATCACTTTCTTCGGTTTACACTTTACCACTTGAGAGATTTTCACTCATATACAATCAAAAAACTACCTTCACGGATTTTTTCAACGGAAAGTTTTGGAAAGGCATTATTTTTCAAATATAGGAATGCAGTTTCGTTGACTCTAACCAACTGTTTGATGTAATTCTTAACAACAACAAGTTTGATATGTAAATCGGGAAGCATGATTTTATTAAGCGCTATCAAGGGCTCGTGAACTATATTGAATTGACCAATCGATTGTTCCTTTCTTTTTGGCCAATCACATTTGGTATAGTGATTGCATTTGGCTCTACTATCCCAATGACAGAACAAACAACAGTATTTAGTGTAGCCCGTTTGCATGCCTGATAGTAGTGAGAGAACTTTAAAATCACAGTTCACGCGCCACCTGTGCTCTTCGTACTTGATGCAATCTAAGATTAATTGCATTGTTTCGTATGATTCCTTTATTCCAACCGCATACAAGATGGGAACGGGTTTCTTGCTACTATCGCGATAGAGCAAGACTGCTTTCAAACTTCGCTTTGATGCGTCAATAAAGAGACGCCATTGTTCGGGTTTATAGTCAGTAATTCCCATTTCATTCATCAAACCTGCAACATCAATGCAATAAGCCTGAGTGCCATCTTCCGATAACTTGAAATATGGCATAAACGGCCGTAGGCCGTTATTTTTACTCCTGGTGCTAAAACATTCGCGCTTTTCAGTTCTGATGCCAAAATCATTGCGTTGTTATGGAAGAGATTTACAGCCCTATTCTAATAAAACCTCACAACTGAGTTGTGAGCAAAACTTTGTGAGGTCTATTTTGTGAGGTTATTCTAGCCCACACCTCACAAGAAAAAAGCTCAACAAAATCACCACACGAGGTGAAAAGCATTTTGCTGTCTAACAGCTGTTTCTTAAATAAAATAAATACAAAAGATGGATGCTGAACAACAGGAAAAGTAAATATTTTTGCAATTTGTTTATTTTTTTGATAATTACTGATTTTATTTATTTTCTAGGCGAATTTAAAAAGAAATAACAAAGCAGGAGTAGCTCCAGTACTTCACACAGTTTGCAATCCACAACTTGGAGCAAAAGCTTGTATGGAAATGAAATCTTATGCCTGCTCTAACTCTTCCGAAACTGCCGCAAAAACAAACAATAACTCCGCCATTACTGAATATACTTTTAATTAAAAAAAAAAATTAACACAGACACTGATAGCGAACGAAAATTAACAAAACATTATTCAATTGCTCAATAAAAATCGGCTATTTTTCTCTTGTGAGGGTCTCATTCGTACATCATAAATTTCCTGACAATTGTGAGCGTATGAGCTTTTGAATTTACGCCAGCATAGGGATAACCTCACAAAAGTCAGAAACCTCACAGTAGTGAGTGTGGTAATTTTTGTGAGGGCAACAGAATAGGGCTGTTAATTTACGCACCATGCTGTTTAGGCGTTCTTGGGATATGAAAGACGGTAAATTGTTTTCAATCGGAATGTAATCAGATCCATCATTAAGTGGTAATGGCGTTGCCATAGACTGTTTGCAATCATAGACAGGTTCGAGTTCGGATGGATGATTTAGAACTTGTAGTGCATCGCTATGTGCAACAGGTAAATGAGCGCTCGGTACACCTTTGTAGACGACACAAGACCGATCTATTGAATTAAATAATTTTGAGTATATGTACGTACATAAATATGCATATATCGATGGCTGAGTGGAAGATCGACCTATCTCAGCTGCCGATTTAAAAACGCCCTATCTCAGCACATTTTCAATGTATTTTGAGATAGGGCGTTCTTCAACAAAATTCTGAGATAGGATGTTTATCAATAAAATTCTGAAATAGTGCGTTCTTCAATCAAATTCAGAAGTAAAATTGAGAAATTGAGAAGTTTTCTGAGATAGGGCGTTTTCGAACTGGCTGCCGAGATAGGTAGATCTTCCACTCAGCCATCGATATACAAATGTTAAGTTTGTTTGTTCGGCGGACAAAAACTAAAAAAGTTCTGCACCATTTTGTTTTTTTTTTTAATTTTGGACTTTCCAAGGTTGGTTATACTTAGGCGTGGTACCTTCCAAACATACAGAAACTTTTACCTACTTCATACACTCAGCGATTAAGGTGAGGGCAAACTATACATAATTTCATGGTTTTATTTAAATTTACTTACTTTTTCGATTGAAACCAAATGTATTTTTGGTGCATGCATAACAATTTTCAGCTTCGCTTTTCCCGGGATTTGTCCAAATCATTGTTGAACCGAATGGTAACTAAAATCGTTTTTTTTCCACCAAAAATTCATCGCACTAATGCACGAAATGCATGTGAATTCGGGAGTGTATTTATTTTGTGCAGGTTCAGATTGCAAAAAGGACCATTTATAGCATGCTAGTCCATTTTTATTTGAGACTAATTTACGCTGGTCTGATTTCAAAACGAATTTACCACAAACGAAACAAAACTTGTTTAATTTATTGCAAAGCTTTTTAATTTTTTTTCATCTTTAGGAGTTTCTGAAGACAATGATATAATGAATAAAAGTTTTTCGCAAAATTTTCGATGTTTTTTCTCAATTAATATGACAGTAATCGCGTGAGTTACAAAACCTACTGCAACGGCAACACAGCAAGCACCAACAAAACCGCCTAGATTAAGCAGTTAGCCGGCCACCAACCCGGAACTGCTTACACCAGCAATAATACATAATTAGGTCATAAGTATGTTCTTACCAATGAGCATATTATTTTGCAATAAGCAATAATACATAATTAGGTCATAAGTATATTCTTACCAATGAGCATATTATTTTGCAATAAGCAATAAGTATAGAATAAGCATTTTATATAATTGTAGAGTAAGCACCTTTATAGTTATAAATATAACTAACTTCCAATAAAGAATGGATTCGATAGTATGAATTGAAGCAGTGAGTGTTTTAGTTGGTGTACAGCTCCAGTTGAGGAGCTAGTGATTATTATATTTTTACTTCGGATATCTCCAAACTAGTTAAGTGGCGCAGTCGATGGCCACAGTGGACAGGATTCAGCGACAAGTGTACCTAGCCGGGAAGACAATTTCCATAGTGCATCGGGCACTACAAGGAGCAGTACCAAAGGACTGAATACTGGAGGATTTCAATCCCTCACCGCTGTGAAACGAACCCCAGGAAAGAAGACAAGTATGAATATACGGACATTCGCTTATTTTTCAATGTGAGTAGGCAAAATATATTGTATGTTCTAATAAACAAATTATTGTAAAAAAAACACACAAAGAGAGCAAATGTTGTAATATAAAAAAAAAAAAATATATATAAATATATGTGAACGAATGAACGTGAAATAAACACAGACATTTTTTATATCTTTATGAAGATACAAAGAAAAGAATTTGAATCAACTAAACTGCTAGTCTTTGCATCAAATTCTGAGACTACAAACAAAAAAAATATATATATAAATAATACATATACATTATTTTTCTCTTTCTCACAAAATAAAATTTAAATCTAAACTCATTTGGAATAAGATCCTCGCAACCGCAACAAACTTTGCAACTGTGAGGATCACCTAAATTACACCTAGAAAAAAATATAGGTTAACCGAATACAAAAGAAATTTTTGAAATCTTACGCCTAGTCTTTCCGATAGCATAAAACTCTCCTACGGCAAGGATTATAAATTCAAATTAACCTATTAAATGCCTAAAACTCAAAAGGCTTCACACTTGCAAAAATTTTGTCCATACCAATTAAGGAGATTAACTAGAAATATGAGCTCCATTCAGGAAGACACTTCAAGTGAAACGTACGATCAACCATATTCTGCAATTTGTGATAACCTAACGATGCCAAGCTCTAACGAGCAACTGAGCCCCATTGGCTTAAGCCAGGTGGACATTTTTAATTCTTTGAGAATCCCGGAAGCCATAAAGGACCTACCGCAAAGTTCGACGGCAATTCAAGATTACTCCACGAATTTATAAATAACGTGGAGGAAATACTACTTTACATTAAAGGGGCTGTTGTCTCCCTATGGTCAAATTCTTTTACGAGCCATAAGAGATAAAATTGAAGGCCAAGGCCAAGATACTCAACATGTACGACACCCGACTAGTTTGGGACGACATAAAAATAAATCTCATCCTGCACTATTCCGACAAACGGACGGAAACCCCTCTCATTAGAGACTTGCATAATGCTATGCAGTTCAACAAAACAGTCGAGAACTTCTATAGTGAAATTGTTGAGCTGCAATCAGCGCTGTGCAATAATGTCCTACTACAGGAACAGGATCCAAACGTGGTAAGAAGGTTCTGTATGCTGATATGTGCCTAAACTCTTTCCTTAGCAGCCTAAAAGAACCCTTAGGTTCTAGAATACGGACCACGCAACCATACTCACTGGCTACAGCTTTAGCTTTCTGCATCAAAGAACAAAACATTTCGTACCAAAGGTTCAACTCCCAACAACCTAAACCTAATACCCAAAATTTCTTAAATAGGAATAACACCCAACACCAATACCAAAATAGAACATAGAACCGTAACCACCCATATCAACAACAACCCAACACAAGTAGGTCTACTGGCATTAACTACCAGAGAAACCAAACGCAAACAAGCACTTCCAACACAGGAACAAATAAATGTGGTACAAATAAAGAGTCAGAAAGTAATAAGACGAGTCCACCAGAAACCTCAAGGACGCAACAAAGTAAACAACCATTTAAACCTAAACAAAGGGCACAGACAAGATATTCTCGATCGGGAAACTTTAACAAAAATTTTCACAATGTAGTCTCGGAGACGCAGCAGGATACGTAGAACTCATGATTCAATAATACAAGGTTAGATAATTATTGACAGCTGCGGTTTGACACTCCCTTACAAAAGGTTGCATTTACGAAGGACAGAGAAAGGGCAAGAATGCGATCCCTTTTTTCGAAAATGGTAGTAGAAAAGTACGCAAAGTAGCCAATTAGTAGTGAAATTCCTTTCGTAAATTCTAATATATTTGCAGGAAATCTGGCATTTTAAACGAAATGTTGAACGTAATATTGATATATCTACGTGAATTACGTAATTTATATGCTATTTAGCCGTATAAAAACTGCAAAATGACTCAAAATTAAAATAAGACTACTATGAGATTGATGTAAACATCCAATGCTTATGTTTTCATCAGTTAAATATGCTTCATATGCATATACAAATAAACATATTGCACAAAAGCTTAAACTTTTATTTAACACCAAAGCTACACTGTTTCGATGTAAATTTGCAAAGAAGCAACACGGTGCCACTGCTAAGGGAGCGGTGCGAGAGGGACAACTGTCAGTTTATCGAACCTTGTATTATTGAATCATGCGTAGAACTAAACAAACACGGGGATACACTGCATATAGATGCATTGACGCTGTTGAGAACCAAAATTGATTTGACGACACAAACACTCTTAACCAAAAACTCTGTTAACGAAATTAAACTTAAGCCTAATCTGACATCAGGCCAAATCATAATACCCGGAAACTCAAAAATCCTTGCCAAGCTTCCAGTAGACATCGAAAATGGTAATATCTACATCGACAAAGTAGAACTCAAACCAAACTTCTTTCTTTCCGAAGGACTCTACCATGCCGAAAACTGGTTCAGCACAATGGAATTAGCAAACTATTCCCAGTCAGAAGAAAACATATGTATTGAGCAACCACTTAGAGTTGA